TCTGTTTCCTCCCCCAGATTTGGGGAAATTTCAGCTGTTATTTCTTCAAATAAATTTTATGCCCCCTTTCCTCTTTTCTCCTTTTGGGATCCCTATAATGTGAATGTTATTACACTTGATGGTGTTGCCAAATTTCCTAAGTCTGTTTTCACCTATTCTTTTTCTCTCTCCTGTTCAGTTTGATTGCTTCCCATTAGTCTGTTCTCTAGGTCCCTGATCCATTCTTCTGCTTCCTCTAGTGTACTGTTTATTCCCTCTAGTGTATTTTCAGTCTAGTTATTGAGTTCTTCATCTCTGATTGATTCTTTGTTTTCTGCCTCGTTAGGAGTCTCACTGATACCCCTAACAACGTTTGCACAAGTCTGCCAGGAGGAGAACTGGGGTAGAGGCTGGTAGAGGGGATGTGTCCACAGGAGAACACGGGGGGCAGGGCACGCTGTTAGCAAGTTAGGTAGGGATTGTTGTGGCCTTGCTGTTTCCCATGGGTGTGTAGGCTGGGGGACAGGGGGAGGGAAATGACACCCACCAGCTCCTTTGTTCCTGGAGAAGTGTCTCTTGTCTCTCCAGCACAAGCTCTGAGATTAGTAAACAGATCCTCTCCCATAGGCCACAGGCAATTTGCAACCTGCTGCTTCTCTACTTTATGTCCAGGAGCTGGTTTGTTGTGCTGTCTCTTTAAGGGCAAGGACTCGGCCTCCTCTCTCCTCCCAGCTCTCCCAGAGCCTGTTGATTTTTAAAATTCTAGGTTTTAAGCCCTGCAGATTGTAAGAACTCCTGAAATTTGGCCCCTCCAGTTTTCAAAGCCAAATGATATGGGGTTTTGTCTTTCCCACGCAGGCTTCCTAGTCTAAGTCTGTTTCTCTTCCCTCTATGCACCTGTGGCACCCTGTGGGCAGTCCTGTGGTCCATTTACCTCCCAACTGCATCTCTGCCCTTCCTACCCTCTTTGATGTGGCCTCTTCTCTACCTTTACCGTGGAGAGTGTTCTGTCCTTTGTTTCATTTTCTGGGTTATTTACCCTGATGTGGCTGTTGCCTGTGAGGCAAGCTTATGGTCCCCTTACTCTGACATCTTCCCCAGAAGTCTGGCCTTCATGTCTTAACGGTCCCTGTGGTTATGCCTGCTTCCCAGGATTATTTCCTATTCAACCTGCTCCTGCCAAGAAATCCATTTCCTTCCAACGTGTGCACCTGAAAATGTTGTAGTTAGCATTTCGCTTGCTCTTATAAGTCTAACTGCTTCTTAATGTTCCCACTCGTTACTAAACCAGTGTTGTGTTTTTATTCCTCAGTACAGAACTACATCCTGCTGTTGCACGTAGCAAGACAAATTCACAGATTTGCCAACCTGCCCTGATTCAGAGAAGTTAGATGCCCCGTGAGCTTCCCTTTTATTTCAGGATTCGAAAATTGGATAAGCTCAAGTTTTTGGCTTTAACAATTTCATGTGAGAAGTTCAAGATCTATTATCCATGCTCTGAATGCCTTCTTCCTGATACCAGGAAAGTGAGGTCCAGCTTTAGGTGAATCTCAAATTTGCCAGATGATGGGGTATTGTATGAACAGCTAATTATTGTTATGTTAACAATGCCCGTGATGCAGGGACCATTCTTATCTTCATTTTACATGTAGGGAAACCGAGGCACAGGTTGACTTGTGTTTACCAAATGTGAGTCAGAAATAAACACAGAACACAGACTTATTTTTCTAAATGGCTGTATAGTTTTATCCTTGTCCTCTGCCTAAGGTGATTGAGTTTCTATTCAGGAAGAGCAGCATAAAATTTTCAGAAAGTTAATTTAAAGACAACCAGCGTACACAGCTACAGCAAAAACTGTAAAGGGGCAGAATTGCCCATAGAGTGTATGGACCTGGGGAAATTGTTTTTATGGGGATCCTGTCTACATAAGCAATTTGGGACTTCCTCAGATCAATGTTTTAGCACCATTCTGGTGACCCAATACTACATGATCCCACAAAAAATTAAACTCTTTACCACAAAGCTCTTCTGGAAACCAGGTTGGACCCCAGGTGGATGGGGGCTAGAACTCTTTGGGGCACCTGGTTGACCTTGGACCCCAGGTGTATGGGGGCTAGAACTCTTTGGGGCATCTGGTTGACCTTGTGCCCCAAGTGGAAAGAGGAACCAGCTGGTCTCAGCCACCAGAGGGGACCATGGGTTCCAGTAGCCAGAACCCATACAGGGCCCTGTGTGTGCTTGGAACACCCCACCCATAGGGCACTGCTGCTTCCAGGCCCTGGAAGCAGGGCTTGGAAAATCCCCAAGAAGGCAGTCCCGAGGCAGGGCCATGGTGTGGGAGAGTGGTCTGCAGAAGAGGACCTGAGGCGGGGATCTGGCTTCCCTGGGGATTCAGGGCAGCACTGACCAGTGGATGAAGTTTGAACAATATTAAGACTTAAATAGTGATTACTTGCAAACCTCTTGATAGCTAAAGTACCGAAGTAGGGAAAGAAAGCTGTTGTAAGGAGGAAGCCAGCTGGAAAGTTCTAGTATTTACAATATCTAATTCTGTTTGTGGGTTTGGTAAAAGAGTTTTTTTTTTTTTTTTTAATTGTGTAAAATGTTCAAGCAAAGAACTGCTTTTCCTTTCCAGTGACCAGCTCAGCCTGGTCTGGTCTGGGAATGTTCTGCTGGACTCTGTGAGCTGGCCCAAGGGGACACTCAATCTTCTTTATGTAGATGCTAGTTCTAAACAGGTGTAGAGACTGATTAGAACAGAGCTGCTATGATGGGCACAGGGAGAGAAATGGACGAACCCAGGATGACCTCATGGCTCCGTCACTTGGGGCACGTGGTGCCAAGCCCTACCTAGGGTTAGATATAAAACGGATCGTGTCTACCGCCTAGAACTGAGACGAGGACTGGACATAGTCAGGGTATCTGTACACACGGCAAAGTTCCTTACAGGAACTCCAACTGCAAAGGGTAAATTTGAGCAGCCTCTCTAGCGAAGAAAAGATACACCAACGCAGCCATTGCTTTCAACCGTTTTATTGCTAAACTATCATGATACAAGCCGTATAAAAATACTTTACATATAGCAAAAATAAACTACATTAAACTGGAGATTAAAAACGTTTTGCATAGGAATGTGATGTATTCAAACTTCTTTAACAGTCGAGATTTCAAAAAAAACCTAAGCCTTCCAGCACCGCCCATTGCAGAGAATTCTGTTTGTCGGAGAACTCACAGGGCACTGTCAACATTTTCTCCCCTTTGAGGGCTGCAGAGGCAATGGGGGTAAGGAAGCTTCTTCGACAAGATGCTCTGGAGGCTAAGTTTGTCCCAACCCCAGCTCTGTCTGCTTACACGGCCGCCATGCTGAAAACACCTCTCCACAGGGAACGGCTTTGTATCCAGTGCACCCAACCCCCCAGCCAGGAAGCTGCCAGGTGTTTGGTCTGCTAACAGGTGCATCAAGGCAGAATGCTCAGTGTTCCCAGCACTCCATCTCCTTTTCAGGGGGACTTGCTCAGGGACCATCTCCGAGGGAGGTTAGGATGTGCTGGGTACCTGCCAGGGTTATCCCTCCAAAAGCTGAGTGCAGGAAGGTTTATCCCAGCTCGTCAAGAATGTCACAACCCCCATGCCTCTTGTAAATGTGAACAAAATTGTTCATGTTTACAAAAAGCGGACCTCTGACAGCCTTTCGATTCTGAATGACAGAAGGCACTTGGAAAGTGTTTGACATGAAAATAAACATATTCAGTGACAATTAGAACACATCAGCTTCCAATCTGTCTACAAGGGACCGCTCCCACACTGGCCAAGGCTGGCTTCCTGAGACTGACGTCTTGGCTACTGGATGTAAACAAGAAAGGCCACATCAGTGCTTCCCAGCTTCTAGAAGAAATCAACCTGATTCATCTAGGGTGTGTCCCTGCTGGAAAACTCTGCAGGTCCTTTGGATAATGCACGGGGGAGGGGGGCTTATCTACCCGGATTTGGTTAGTTCTGTAAACAGGAGCCTGCACTTAGGGTTCTGTGAACAAGAACTCTTCCAGAATCCCATTATAATACAGGCAGTTTTGTTTTTAATTCAAAATCACCTACTAGGCTACTGCTGTGGGGGAATCTCAACACTTTACAATTCTCCTCTGTGACCAGATGAAGGCTCAGAGCTGAACTCTACATCCTCCCAAGCAAGCATCAGAGCGTTCCTTCTTCAGCAAAGCCATCCCCTGTCTCCAGGGACGCTGTCTTCTAAGACCCTGGTGACTGACAGGCTCGGAGCTGGGTTTTTGGCTTTTGTTTGCTTTGCCAGCATGAATCACACAGTTTCAAGAATACATCATTTCCCTTAGGGGGAAAAAAAATCAACATATGCAAAAAGAAACACCTGAAAAAGATTTCAACCATTTATAAATATTTTCTAATTCCAACAGAGGGTGTGTGTGATATTTTCAGGACCGATAAAAAGCATAAACATACAGGTAAGAAAATAAAATTTAATAACCTACTAATTTGGATCGCTCTTATATATTATGAAGCAGCAGTATTTTTGTACAAATACCAGAAGACTTGCAGACTTCGGAAATCTACTACATTCAGCAACACGGTAGATTTCTGTTGGTGGCGCTACCCATTTACCTTGGATGCAGCAAGTGCAAACCTCGACCTGAGATCCTTTCTATCACGTGCAACACACACATCTTTACCACTTAGACATCCTTATTTTTCTCCTTCTCTTAGAGGATCATATTGCCTCTTCCCAGACTGAAAATATTTCATGAGTGATTCCTCTTGGCAAAATTTCCTCCTGGCGTTTGTTACCGACCAAACTTCCTTGATCGCTGTCAGTTCCTAATACCCATCCTCTCGCCTGTTTAGGTCTCAAAACTAATGCTTTGGTTTCTCTGTCTTTTGTTATTTGGTATAGTTGTTTATGGACATGCTTCCTCTACTATCCAGCTAGGAGGTCTTAGAAAAAGCTTGTGTGTGCATTAGATGCGCGCGCACACACACACACACACACACACACACACACACACACACGTGTGTGTGTGTGTGTGTGTGTGTGTGTGTTAAAGACTGTCAACTAGCGGGACCCCCTTTTCATGGACAGAGTTGGAAGATCGATGGAAAACACGTTAGCCCTTGTTCGCCCCATCCAGGCACAACGAAGCAGGGAGACTTTGCTACAATAGCAGGAAGGCACTTGGGTAAAACATTCAGATAACTGAGGAAAGGCCAAATTCCCTCATGTGCAAAAAAAAAAAAAAAAAAGAAAAGAAAAAGGTTAAGGTTCCCAGCCAGGTCAAGGGAGAACAGATCACTCACCAAACACTTTAACTCTTCCCCAGGGAAGTCAATATTGCTGGAGAGAAACTGCTTTATGTGAAGCTGCTGGTGTAAGGAAACTTTTATTAATTAGGAAGAATTTCACATCCCAGAAGTTCTGCAACAGCGGTCAGGCTCTTACTGGCATTTTGTATAAAAGAAGGATTTTGCCAAACTTTGGGCTTGAAGAGCGGCCCCCCCCCTGTTGTTGGGGAAGATAAATGCTAGGTCTCCACGGAAAGGTGGAGGGTTCTCATCCACTCTCCGCAGCACCAGACCCTCCGGGCCGTAGTCCCCAAGCCTCATGCTCCTGGCCATGCCGTGGGGAAGGTTTCATCTCTGTGTCACCTTGACAAGGAAGCCGGGACTCCAAAAACCCACAGCAAGCCTTTAAAGGCTGTGATTCTCCTCCTAGGCTTCTACCTAGCCGAGCTGACTGAGAAATCCCCAAGGAGAGCCTTTGGAAGAGTGGTAGGAATATTTATGTTCTGTGTGGATGACCGGGGAGCAAGCGGAGTGGCCGAAAACGAAGCCCTGGCTTGTCCCAGGGCGTCCCCAGGAAGGTAAACAGGAACACATCTGTGCGATGAGAAACTCCCCTGCGGAGAACTTTGAGAGTTTTAGGTGTTTGCAAAAACTGCACCAAAGGAGGAAGACTCTGGAGGACTTGGTGTGTGCAGTAGAGACAATGGGGAAGAAAACTCCCCCATACACCCCTTCGGGGACGCTCCTTCCGACTGAGGGAGGCACGCGGGTTGATTCTCTTCGGCGCAGATAAAGCGGCTAATACAGACAGGTGTCTTGGGATGGAGGGGCGCTGGAGATGGGTTTGGGTAAAAAAAAAAAAAAAATAACCAGTGAACTTGGGGCCAAAGCCCGAGCTTGCTGTCCTACTCGCAGGCTAGGCCACAGAGGGAGTTCAAGCCTGGTCATGGGGGAACCCACTTAGAGAAATACTCAGGCCTGCCCACCGCTTGCCTCGTTTCACACTTCACAAAAATCCCTGCACCGTTTTCGTGGTTTTTTTGGTTTTTGGTTTTTTTTTTTTTTTCCCCCTTTGGTTGCTGTAGCTCTTCTGGGATTCCTTCTCACAATTCAATGCACATGCTTGAGCTCTTCTTCACCTGTTCAAGGAAAAGCGCTCTGGCCACCAGGAGAAAGCAAGTGAGGCTAGCAGAAAGCCCTCGGCCTGCGGAGGCCGGTGCTCGCGCCGCGGGCCGGGGTCCCTGCTCCAGGCCCGCCGCTCTCTGCAGGGGTGAGGAGCAGCGGGCCCAGAGAGCTCCCCCAATCCAGCCACCTCGGGCTGGCTCTCGGAAGCGGAGACAAAAGTAACAAACGTGGACACGTGTCATAACTTAAGGCTGAGTTTTAACCGGTCATTTGGTGTGGGCCAGACAGTCTTGCTTCAGAATGAGGAAACTGACCAATAAGGGTTCAGCCGTGGCCCGACCATGGCCGGGACCAGGCGGTCCCTAAGGAGGACGGTCCGGCTTCTGTTTTTTCTTCAGCCCGGACGCCAGGCCCGCTCGGGTCACGTTCCTTGGGTGGCTCTGTTTGAAAGCTCCTTTCCTTCAAAAGGTACAGGAGCTGTATCTGTGACCTGGAAAAATGAACGCAGGGCTGGGGTTTAATCACGGGGGCCCACATCTTCCATCCCCCAGCCCAGCCCACACCCCAAGCTCTGGTCACTCCGTTCTCGGGCCGGTCCGGCGTGCTGTCTTGTGTGTTTTGCTCAGCAGGCACTTAAGGTTTTTGGATGGGACACCAGGAAAGTCAACCGAGATGCTCTCTGGGATTTAAACCCCAAATCAAAAGGCAGAGTGTTCTCTCTGGTGTTTTACACAGAGAGGTGGCGAGCTCCTTAATCGAGAGTCAGCTTTCTGCCAGGACCTCGTCCCGCGCATGGCCTCCGGGCCAGGAGATGTACAGTAAAGGAAACAGAAGGTGAGGGCAGTGGAAGGCTCCCAGGGGTCAGATACGGAAGGTGTCTTGCTAATGGCATCTTCTACGTCTGATTTCTGGCGGGAGGTCCTGAAAACTCCTTCCTGATAATTTCATTAACTACAAAAGAACAGAGAGAGAGAAAGAGAGAGAGAAGGGGCGAGTGAGCGGGCACCAACAACACGGATCAGCTTAGCTTTTCTAGAACCGGAACAAGGGGGCTGCTTTTTAAAACACGCTTTTGTTCTGATAATGCATCTGATGGTTTTTAACCTAAGAAATGCTTTCCTCTGCTCTTTTTTCTGGAGGATGATATTTTGTGCTAGAGGGGTTTGTGAAGGTAACTTTAAACATCCTGGCAGAGATGGTGCTGGGCCGGAGGGCAGGTGCTAAGTGTGTCCCGTCTCTCTGGTGACTCCCAAACCCCTTCCACTATTACAGCGTCCAGAAAAGCCCTACTACATGACTCAACCCTAGTTGACCCCCAGAGCGTATGGTTCTCAGAAGAGGGGCCTTTCCACAGACAGCAGATGGGAATACCAAAACGACCAGCCATTGTGTAGACAAAATCTCTCTCCGCACAACCAGGAATTCCTCCCCGCAACACACACACTAGTGAAGGATCACACTGTGAGTCTTCCGAAGGGGAAAATGTCCTCTGAGGGGTCTGGAAAATTCGGCCACCCCCTCCCCCTAGCAGGGACCCAGGAATGGGATGCCAGCCCCTGGTATCAAGAACCTGGCTATCTTCTCCCATCTTGGTGCCTTATCCAGGGCTGTGGTCCCTGGAAGAAAGGCAGTAAGGTCTTAATAGGGGGCAGCTGGCAAAAAGGCTTCCTTCGGCTTTCTTGGTAAAAGTTGCTGTCAGTGGCATCCCAGACCCAAGGCAGAGGTGTGTGTCCACTGTGGTTTGTGCAGTGGGATGGGTTGACTGGTCCCAGGGGCAGGAGAGGAGGGAGGGAGACCCCTTTTGGGTGCCACGGAAGGTCTCCCAAGTTCTCCCGCAGCCCCTCCCTGGCCTCCTCAACCTGCGGGTTTCATCTTTGCTTTTGTCTCTAACCGTTGAGATGTGCTCAAACTCTCCCCATGTTCAAGCTGAGCCCTCCAAGGTCCAGTGTCCTTTCCCAGAAACCCCCACATGGATGAGCCCACAGGCCCCAAGGAGGAGGCATGTGCAAACGCCAGAGGCAGTGGCATTGAGCCGCAGCAGCGTGTCTGAGCCTCAGCTCCCGAGCTCTGACAGCATGTCTTGACCTCTCTGGGCCCGTGCCTTGCACTTCCCAGGGGAGCAAACAACCCGTGCACACCGTTCAGTCCCCGTGAGGCACGGAGGTTCGTGCAAACTCCTCGCGTCCGCCTGGTCAGTGGTGTTCAGCTGCTGTTGCCTATGATCGGGATAGGCCCAGGCTCTGGGTCGGGCTCTGAATGAGTACTTTGCCCTGCAGGCCTCCTTTTGTGCTAGAAACTAGTCAAGCACACGCTCTGTTGTTCAGACACAAGGTGGGAGTCTGGGCTCTGGAGCCCACTAGCCAGGGTTCGCATCTCACCTCTACCGCCTCATCACTTGCTGAACCTTGCCTCAGTCTCCCCATCTGTAAACCATGTACAAAACCATCCCCCCTTCCTTCCAGGGGTGTGGAGGAGCTTGGATAAGCTAATGCAAGTGCGGAAATGATCACCATGCCTAGTATGGCGGTGTTCACAGTATGGTGTGCGTTATATCTACACCTTCGACATGCTGTTTTTGTGTCTGTTAGAACTGCAAACTGTGGAAGTGGATTCATTAGTAGCAACTCCGAGGATGAATTCATAGGCAGCAAACCAACATTCAGTGGGCACTTACTGTATACCAGGCACCAGCCTGGCTGACTCCCAGGGGCCCTCAGGCAGGAACCCCACGAAGGAACCCGCCCTCGTGCGCACCCCGCCAGGGCCTGGACTGCCCAGAGGCCTTTGTGCAGCAGGGCCCGGAGGCAGCAGTGAAAGCAGAATGGGAGGGGGCAGTGTGGCTTCACTCGGAGCTTTTCAAAGCCCGGATTCTGAAGGGCTTCCTGTTTTCTCAATCTAGGAAACCAGAGGAGTCAATCCCTCATGGAAACTTTCCATCGCCCTGGCTTTCTAAAAATAGCTGGGAGGCAGCAGTGTTGGCACCAGGACCCTCGCTAAAGGGTCGTTTCCCTCCTCAGAAGGCAGAGGCCGGGGCTGGGGCCCAGGAGAGGATGGAAGGTAGGAGACGCGGCCAGCAGGCCCACGCGGCCTTCCCCTCCTGCCTTCTGAAGGCAACTTCCAGGTAGAAGCTAATAGTGGCGTCTGGAAAAGCTATGGACACGGTGCACTCAGACCTTCATGGGGTTGGGGTTGGGGGCAGGGAGGGAGCTGTGCACTCCAGCCCCTAAGGGAGGCCTTGAACCCCACAAAAACCTCTCTGGGTAGAGGAACCTTCGCTTGCTGAAACCTCAGAGTGTGCTCCCCTGGCTGTGAACAAGGAGAGAAAGTTCCACAGCAGAAGAACCTGCTGGGCTCACCACCGCGGCAACGCAGCCCCGTGGGTCTGGGAGCCTGGAGGGTTTCTTTCTTCTCCACCACTTCCTCCAGAGCCTGGTGTCCTACCTGTAGGAGGTCTCCCCTTCACAGCCAAGGGTAGTGGAAGAGTGAGTGAGGCCACCCTGCCCTTTGAATTGATGCCCCGGTGCCCACCATGAAACCCCTCCTTGGTCTTTCCCCAGCTTCTGTCCTTTAGGGGGAAGAGGGTCTCTAGGCTCAGCCCTGTAGCACGTCATGCTCGGGCTTTGGTCTCACTCCCTTGCTCTGTCCTCTTAAGGTCTCCCTCATGCAAAAACCCTGCTCTGGGCCCCACCTGCTCTCTTAGGGGCCCTGCAACGCCAGCTCCCTGTACCCTGGCTGGCCATTGGGTTTTCACCTGCTCACTAGGCCTCTGCCCTGGCTGTCTCCCTTGCCACCTCTAATGCCTTTTTCCACACTCCTTCATTCAAGGCTCTGTTCCCCCTCCTCCAGGAAGGCTGCCTGGGCACGCTGCAGTGCACACCCAGAGTCCCGCCCAGTTTCACTCTCCCTCTATCTTCTGTAGTCATTGGTTCCTCCAATTCACCAGCTAGTGCTTTGGCTGTGGTCTTGTTCCCCACTGAGTCTTCAGCTTTTAAGCAGGACATCAGGACAGAGGAAGTGCTCACTGACACTTCATGAGAAAGAGGAAGCTCAGGGGGATTAAGTAGCCTCAGGTCCTACTGACAGCTCTGGGCTGGGCCCCAGCTCTGACTGAGGTCTGAGTGCCAGGCTGTGGGTCAGTGCTCTGCATTTTTTTCATCTGGTAAATGTTTGAAGCAACTCTTCTATGCCAGCCTCTGTATCTTTCCTCCCACTTCTTCTCAAACTGGGCCATGTGCATTTCTGCAACTACCCCCTCTCCTTGTCCCAGCCCTGACTTCCCTCCTGCCCCTGTTTCAACGCCACCTTTTCATGGGAGCCATCTCCTGCTCCCACCCTCGGGCCCTCACTCCCTCCAAAAGCAAATACTGAATTCTCCAAATGCCTTGCTTACATATTCCTGGGCCAGGTTATCTGAGTTCCCTGTATCTCCACAGTGTTCTGGATAGCACCATGCACACAGCAGGCACCTAATGCATGCATCTCATTTCCACCCCCCACTCCCACCCCCAGGGATCCTGCATCATCAGCCTAGGTCACTTGGTTTGGGGAAGCACATTTTCCTCTGTCACCTTATTGACAAATGGGTTGCCTGTCTATTACTTATCTGGAGCCTTTTCTCTACAAAAGAATATAAGCCATTCATATTTAATGGAAGCTAACCATGTGGCAAGCACCGTAATAAATGCCAAGTTTTCCTTATACCAAACCCAGTAATCCTATCCTTGTTCTACAGATGGAGATAGGCAATCACCAGCCATGCTAAGTGACGGCATCAGAATTTGAACTCGGGACCCATGTATTAACCTCAACGCTGTACAGCTACACAACTGATGAAGATGCTGTGCTATTAAGTTCAGGAGTCATCACCTTCACCTTTCCTCCGTGGCCCTGGGGTCCTCCGTGTCCGGAAAAGGTAAAGGCAGCCTCTGCTAAGTTAACAGCCGCAAAGGCCAAGTGCCGGGTGGTTAAGGTGGTCACGGAGTATCACTTTCTCAGAACACAATTGAGGCCAATGGTGCTGACTCTACCACAAGCTCCCCTGACCTTTTATCACCCTCTGAGTGAGGGCTGTGCTGAAAACACTGATGGATGTGGGTTCCACCTCAGGATGATTTCTAAGCCTGACACCTGAGGCTAAAACCAGACAGGAAAAGATGGACAGATGTATAATTATAACAATACTTACATCTTTCTCTTTAAAACTCAAAAAAAAAAAAAAAAAACAAAACCTGGTAGCATAATAAGAAAAATATAACTATTCTAATAACATGGCTATAGGCAAAAAAAAGTAGACGAGGGACCACCAAGCCTTGTCTATCAAGGGCCAGACAAAACTGTTCTCCGAGCCCTGGGCCAGGCGGCCCCTTGCTCAACTGCTCAGCTCTGCTGCTGTGGTGTGAAAGCCGCCACAGACAGCATTTGTGAGCAAATGGACGTGTCCGTGTGCTGATAAAACTTTATTAAACCGTAACAGGCTGGGGGGGCCAGATT